CACAATGTGTGGAGTCACCACAAAACGGGTGAGTGAAACCGCCTGTTTCTCTGGAACTCTGATTCACAGCCAATCATGGTCAAAGCATGTAAGTCAGCTGCATCAGAAACTTGTACTGTTGGACAAACATCCATGTGCTCCTCCATGTTCCTTAACCCCTTGATAGTTAGGTAAAGCTGTCTGTCTAGTTCTGGAGAACAGGCAGTGAGCAGAAGCATTTAAATGCCACAGTGGGACCTTTTGAGTGGGCTCTTAGGTGGTAGACAGCTAACAGTCTGAGTTTCTGAGTGAATGTATGGATCAGAGATGTGCACCTGTGCCCTAACCTGCACTGAACAGATGGTGCCAGCAAGAAACAGTGTGCCATGCCGCTGAGATTTGGGGAGTGAACCTGTTACTGCAGAAAGACCTAGCCTCATACTGACTAATATACCAGCCACACAAAAGAAGAGCCATCTGAGCCCCCACATGGAAGGGGCACCCCAAAGCCAGATCTGGCTCCTTTCAGCTCCCTCCCACACAGCTAGATGAGAGCTGAGGAGAGCTGGGAGGAGTGGGGTTGAGACAGGGCTTGTTTTTTACATAACTTTTATGAATTTAAACTCAGCTAATAATGGCATCCGCTTCCTTATCCTGTAAATAAATTCCTAGAAATAAATGGAACAAAAAAGAAATGAACAAAGTTCCATAAAGGACAGTTTATATGTGAATATCAAACCGTCAAAAGCTGTGAGATACAGATCATTCTCTATAATCCATACTTTTTGTTTTATGCTTAATTTAAAAATCAGAGGACAATGCAAAAAAAAAGTAATCACATACCTCCACTGCCCAGATCTAACCTCTGTTAAGATTTTAGCATATTAGCATCCTATTTCTATGTATATACTTTTGCATATTAAAAATCATACAATGATATGAATACATTCACTTAAAAAATAAATTAGAATATTATAGAGAAGCTTAAGGTCCCTTTGAGACCTACACAACATATTATCATTGTGATACTGGTTTGTATTTTTCTGGTCTATTTTCAATATTTTTATATACAAACATATGAATATATGGAAGATGGAAATTTACACAGCTATATATTCATAATAAATATAAAGTACTACTTCACAGTCTGCATTTTCTCTATATAGCCCTGTGGTCAAGAAAAGCAACAAAAAGAGGAGATAGTGTGGGACCAGCATATGGGATCATGGCCAAATGAGGCTCAAAAAGATTTGAGCGAAAACACAGATGAGTCTTTATTGAACCTCCATAAGATCACAACAGTTATAGTTCCAGGCTGGTCTCAAACTCCTGGGCTCAAGCAATCCTCCTGCCTTGGCCTCCCAGAGCATTGGAATTATAAGTGTGAGCCACTGTACCTGGCCGAGGGTGACTTTTATTTGGTTCAAAATAGCATGTCTACTTGTCTCTTGAATTTACTGTGGTAATGAAACCAGAAGTCAGACCCCCAGGGCGAAAGAAACGCAGGACAGACAGATGGAGCTCCTTCCCAGACATGCAGAAAATAACCAGGTAGATAGAGCACAGTACGTAAGGAAGAAATTGTCAACACCACCTTATGATGTGAACAAGCAGAACTTTCTGAAGAATTTCTATAAAATCTCAGAAGGAACTTACGTGGCTGATTTGTGTTTAAGTCTATGATTCAGTGGGACACAGTTTCATGTGTTTCATGTGTCTGTGGTCACGTCAAGCTTGCTTTGCCAAACACACTGAGGAAAGCACTGATTATTTTTGCCACACTGTGGCTGACTTAAACAATTCAGCTTAAAAAATACAAACAATGTGGAGAAAGTGGTCCCTGCCAACACACAACTCTCTGGGGAGCTCTCAGGGCATTCTCTGTATTTACATGTCCCCGCCACTTGAAATATACCTTTCCAGTGATCTGTTTACTTGCCTGTCTCCCCAGCATCCTTGAGGTCAGGGACTGTGTCCTGTATATCACTGTAACCGCTTTGCCTGGCACAGAGATGACCAACCATGTTTATGAAATGAATGAATGAAGAATAAAGTGCTTCCTTTCTAGAGTAATTAATTCTGCCTTGCCTACATTAAGCCCACTTCTTTAAGTGTGAGGAAATACGAGGTTACGTTACAGAGAATACAGAAATAAATGATTGCCTCATTCAATAATGAACTAGGACCAAGAATAAAATTGGCTGTTGTTCCTTAGTTACTGCTCTGCCACTAGCCCAATTTGTTAACTGACTACATTAAAGATCTAATTTAATTAAATCTTGAACAAAGCTCAGAAGACCTACAGAGAGCACTTTGCTTAATTACAGGCAGGGTTCAAGCACCAATCCTATTGATCTGGTCAGTTAAAATTCCATACAATGAATGCGGACAAAGAAAAAAAATACTGGTTCCTATTGCTTGTCAGGGAACTTTGATGAACTGTGGATTCACAGCTGCTAAAAAGACGGCAAAGGCAAACCAGTCTTGTACTCTACTGTCACAAGGATAAAAATAAAACGGTACCTCAGTCACTCTGCAGAGCTATACATCGTGAAGAACAGAAGACAGTGACAACCACGAAGGACAGATCCCTCCAGAGGGAAATAAAGTATACTAGGTGAGTGGATGGGTGGTGGCTGGAAGAAGGCTTTCGGCATTTAACGTCTAGTAAACAGGCACTGAAATGCATCTAGGAGCTTTTAGAGATCCACATTCATCTTGAAATAAAAAGAAATAAATCCAATTCATGGTATGTATATAAATTCCTGAGAACATCTCTAGTCGAGGAAGAGATTAAAGCTACTCAGCATTATTTGAAGGTAACTGAAATAAAAGTTATATAAAACCATACTAGTTGCACAAACTTAAAAAGGCAACAGATGTGATTGGAAGAAAGGTTTTGACTAAAATGTGTGTATGTGTGCAGGCCTGTATGTGTATGTATGTAAATATCCAATGTCCATGTTAGAGTTCTTCAAACATCTAAGGATTCCTGTGAAAAAAATGACAGGATGGTGTTCAACTTTGCACGTCACTCAACAGGTAACTCTAGATTTTACTACAAAGAACTACTACTAATTTTCTGAGCATTTACTATGTGCCAGACATCGCCTAACAACTTTATGAATATCATCTAATGTTTGCTTTGGGTGCTATTATTGTCCCCGTTTGTGGCAGAGTAAACTGAGGCACAGAGAGGTTAGGCAACTTTCCAAAGACCCGTGGTGACTTGACAGGTAAGGCTATGCATGACCCAGGCAGTCTGGCCCCAGAGCCCAGGTACCTAGTGTAGTACCTTCACACTGCGCTATTCTTAATACTGATCTCCAGAGTTAGAAAAAACATTGGAAGTTTGGGAGGGGGACTTTTTATTGTTTGCTAGTCCACAATCAAGGGCTGGCAAGTGAGAGGAGAAAATTCATTCTATACCACAGTATGTAATTACACCTAAGACCAACAATTTCCCTCACAAAACATGCACCATCAGAATGCACATGCTAAGAGTAAGTACATACCTAATTAGGGCATCAGTCATAATCACTGGGGAGTGTAACCCAGGAAATTACAGGTGGCGTAGGCTTTAGTGCTAAGCAGATTTCATCATGTTGCCCAGATAAAGCCTTTGCTGACTGGGATGATTTACACCTGCTGATGCAAGTATGGAGACTGGCATCCGATATAGCTGTGTGCTGAAAATATGCTTATGCACGTGAGTTAAGACAAAACGGTGTTCAGATGAGATGCAGCAGAGCCAGCCTTTTAATTATGACATTAGCACAAATGAAGAAGAGTTGATAACATTCAAAAATAGTAATTTCTTCCATATTTTTTAAATGAGGAAGAGCTTACAACATTCAAAAAAGGTAATTTCTTCTACATTTTTACATAATGGCAACTAAGAATACTTACATGTGGATTAAAAACAAAAAGATGTACATATGCTGATCTTGTTGAAGAATAGAAGGCCGAGTTATTAACAAGGTATTTTTTATGGCTAAAGGAGAAAGAACTATGGTGAAGGATGATGAGACCCACTAGATGTATTTCTCCCCTTCTAAGTCAACTTTATCTATATGTAAAATAACCAGTCAGAGCACAACTAGAAAACAAGCTTCTAATGTTGCCAAGACCGAGAGAGAGTAAAGCAAATCTAGTAATTCAAAGTGAAGTTCAGAGGGAATTGTCTGCAGAATTCACTGCTTCACCCCCAGTCCAATCACAGATCAAACTCACAGCCAAACACAGAAGTGCTACACACCAAACACAGAAGTTCCTGGGATTTAAGACTCCATCTTGGATAAATTTAGGGCTTTTAACAATTCTGCCAAACATTTCTATCCTGAAACATTAGCTCCTTCAGTAATGGATATATGTCCTAAACAAAATGGTACTCAAACTAGTTCAGGCCCTAGGTGAATAGCAGGAATCGCACTTACACATCTGAAAACAGAGAGACACATATATAATATGCATACTTACATTAAACAGATGCATATACACACATACATACATGCACACAATGTACAAGATATGGTGATTTTAACTTCTTATCTGCACCAGAAGAGATGACATTCTACCCTAGATTCACTCTAAGTAAATGAGAGCAGGTGCTATAAAGCTCAATAAAATTTTATAGAAAACGTTAAAAGGGGAATATTCCATATTTCTTTTTCAAATTCTAAAAATACTATTAGTTTATCTTACAGAAGAACATTTTAATTGAGCTTAGAAAACACGTGCTTACCCTGGAGAGTTGAGAATCATTGCCCCGATGTAACTTTACCAACCAGTCAGATTTAAGATTCCAGAGAAAAGTGTTTTTTTTTAAAAAAAAAACTTACCTCTACACCTTAGCAATTTCAAACTACTTTTCTTTTAAGAAGGACTTCATAAGAAGAAAGAGACAGTGATTCCCAAGGTTACAAATGCCACAAAAACATGGTGCCCCTGGTGGTACACACCAGCCTCTCTCAGCCCCATGCCCGGGAAGGGCCTGGCCATGGTGGATGCGGCATGCTCACCCTCCTCCGGAGCCGGTCCCGCTCCTCCCGGATTGCATTCATCGTGGCCTTGGTCCGGTTCAGTTCTTCCTCTTTGCTGCACAGCATGGCAGTCAGGCTCTCATTCTCTTCCCTCAGCCCAGCAAGCTCCTTCTCCCACCGAGACCTCTCTTCAGCCAGGTTGGGATACAGGTCCCGGCCAAGCACCCCCTCAATCTCCTCGACTGTCTGTAAAACACAGCCCCAAAGAAAAGTCAAGTAGGTTACCTTGGAGAAAGGGGATGGGAAGAAAACAGGCCGAACAGGAGTAAATGTCCACAGAGGAGTGTGGACATCTAGAACCACTTTGTTATAAATACTGATCATGACTAGGGACCACCCCAAAGTTATCTTGTCCCCAGTTTCAGAGGAGGCTCTGTCACTAGCCTGAGGTACAGTCTGTGTTACCCAGCACCCTTCAGAGTAAGAAAAGCAGTGAGTCCTCTCCTGGCGGCTGAGTCTATCTGTGGTGCTAGCTGACACATCCACATAATGCTTATTTCCTTCACTTGAGTTCCAGAGTTGGTGGATACACACAACCAGGCAGAAGGCCATTTAGTGATCCTGGTAATGCGAGGACAAACATGAGGTTGTAAACTGCATACAAAATCTACGTTGAAGTTTCCTAAATTATAGGCCTCCCACATGCCAACTCAGCGATAAGATAGGTCACATTACCATTTCCAGCTTTTAGTGCCACATCCAAATTCAGATGGTGCGAATGAGGTTCAGTCCCAAGACGTGAAAGACAAAAATAAACCTCATTGACACAGAAAAGAGGAAGCTCATTGTAGAGATGTCTAAGACAGCAGGGATTTAATTAATCAATAACACAGCTTTGAACTGTAAAGGAAAATCCCAGTTGCACATACAGAGTTTTTAAAAATACATTTAAAAACATTTAATAGAGAAGAAACATGCATAATATGAGGAAAAAAAGGAAGAAGTCATTCTGTCTACTCTATAAACTGTTCATTCACATTTACTTTCCTTTGAAAAAGGAAGCACAAGCCAGTGGATAATGAAACAAGGGGGAGAATTACTACGCAGAGGTAGAAGGCAGTGAAGAGACGGGGTAAGAAACAGTGGGCTGACCAGGTGCGGTGGCTCATGCCTGTAATCCCAGCACTTTGGGAGGCCCAGGCGGGTGGATCACCTAAGGTCAGGAGTTCAAGACCAGCCTGACCAACATGGTGAAACCCTGTCTCTACTAAAAATACAAAAATTAGCCAGGCGTCGTAGCGGGCCCCTGTAATTCCAGCTACTCTGGAGGCTGAGGCAGGGAGAATTGCTTGAACGTGGGAGGCAGAGGTTGCAGTGAGCTGAGATCACACCACTGCACTCCACCCTGGGTGACAGAGCAAGACTCTGTCTCAAACAAAACAAAACAAAAAAGAAACGGTAGGCCTCAAATACTAAATAAGGGTACATCACTCTAGGATGCTCACATTGGTTCTCAAATCTGGCTGCCCTTTGCACATGAGCTGCTTTATCCTTCCTTTCAATCCAAAGACTCTTATCCTACTTGGCTCTGCTCCAGACCCTGTGCTTTGTCCCTGGCTGGTTGGTAGAGGTCCTTGGCCTCCTCCTTCCCTCTCAACCCCGAGGCTGGGGCTAGACCTAAGTTGTCGTTACAATCAAATAGAGGGTCCAGGAGATTCCAGAGAAAAAAACACCAGCAACTGCTTCTCCCTGCCCTGAACCACATCAACTACACGTTTGCAATTGAGATGAAAAAGATGGAAAACCAGCAGTGTTATAAACATGCATCACAGTTTACCTTGTGACACCACAGTTCTTTCGTGCAAGCCAGAATTCCTACTGATAGAAACTTGGGCCTGCAGTTCTCTTTGCATGGGTTACTCTCAGACTTTTACATTTGAATTGCTATGCCCAGGCCACTAAGTTACGCCAAAGGAATATAAAGATGCGATTTTTCTGAATTCAGTAAGCCTTAACTTTCCCATCATTCACAATGAGTTTGTGGATGCAACAAATTCTTCACACCACCTCAAACAGCAAGAGGAAAACACATTACAGGCGTGGCTGAGACCCGGCTCCAGTGTGCTGGGGATAGATGACTCAGTCAGGCCTGAACCTTCCTCCTTGTTAGCACCATGAATTGATGACTCCTGAAATGATATTCTAGAGGCCTTATAGCTTTAATAAAACTTCCAGGCTAAACTCACAACTTAAGAGTGCTCTATGATGAACCACACTAAAATAACATGGTTCAATACCAGCAGTCGAATGGTTTCCAAGTAAAGTGTCCCTTCTGCTGCAAAGCCAGTGAACCCGACTGCTGACATCATGACTTTTTCTGAAGTAATTCAGCCCAACCAGAATTTACAGGGCCCCCTACACCATGGCCTCATCTATAGTATGGCTGTTACGGAAACATTCATCCCTAACGAGTATGTAAGGAAACTGCACTTCAAGAGAAGGACTGGACCACTTCCCTTACAGAGCCTCCAAGGGCCTCACCGAGGGTAAGGGCGGTCTACCTTAATCGCCAGGTCGCAGTGCTCGCTAGCCGTGGTGAGTTGCTCGATGTGCCTGTCCACCTCGGCCACGGAGAGGCTGCAGCTGCTCTTCTTCCTGCCGCAGACGACATTCTCCAGCCCCGTCAGCACCCTCTGCAGTTCAGAGTTCAGGTCACTGCAGTTGTCTGCAAATGAATGAAGACAAAATGTGTTACGCAGGGCAACAAACGCTCTGTTTTGCTTATCGTGAGGGACCCATTCAGGTAATGGGATGGCAGTGGAGCATGACATTTCAGAGTTCACCACCAGCCAGCCTAACCTCACAGGCACTGCCTCGGAGGCATGGAGCCAATGCAAAGCTCTTTTAATTAAGGAGTTTCAGAGGTCATTTTCTGAATTCTCTTGTCTTTTACTCAAAGCAGCCACATCTTGAGTTTCTTTAGTAAGAACAAAGAACTGTCTAGAAGAGGCTGTTGGTACTAACAGAGCCTTCTGGTCAACCTGTGTGCTCAGTTGCTCTGACAAGCACTAACTGTGGAAAAATCCTGAAACTGTACTAAATGTAAGCAAAAGTCTCAGAATGAGCAGAGACACTAGGTATTTTGAAAAACAGAAACTGTGCAAGAGACAGTCCTTGCTCTCAATGAGCCTGAAAACAGGACTTTTCGATGACAGAACCAGTATGCTCTACCTTTGCAATTTAATCCATGTTCTTTCATCAGGGGAAAAAAACAAACTGTTCTAACTAATTCCATCTTGTTCTCCACGTAAGGTAACCAATGCTAATAATTTGATTTTGACTTTAAAACCTGGGTTGCTTTGAACTGCTGGACATCCAGGGTCTGGTCAGAGAAGTAAAAAATAATTATAATGTGACCTAGATGTATCTCAGAAGACAGTTTTATTGGGGAAAAAAACTTCCCTTAAAGTCAAATACAAATTTTGCAACTCGCTTTTTTGGATTCTGTATATCGCCATGCCATTCAGTTATTGTTGCAGGGCCGACGCTGACTGACCACATGCAGTCCTTCAGAGTACATCCTTCCCCTACGTCCAGCCTGACCCTGCATGAAAGTCGCTCAGTGTCTTCCACTTCCTTCTTCTCTCCTGCATGCTTCTCACCGCAGCTCCCAGGTACTAACATGGTCAACTGCTTTTCGGACTTACCTTTGGAAGACTTCAAGAAAACTCTTGGCACAACAGGAACAGGACTTCTCAGAATACTTTAGTCAACCTCATCTGGTTGCCTGTATCTGTAAATTACCTAAATCTAGAGATATCAGCCTAAGGCTTTCACTCCAACCAGTACACACAACTACTCCACCTATTCTCAACCCTGTTCCTTCCCGATCTCTCCCATCTCCATGAATAGCACTTCTATCCACCCGGTTACTCAGGTCAGCTCTGAGGCAACCTTCTATGCCTTTGCCTGACATTCTAAATCCAATTCATCTTGTGACCACAACCTCTAAAACTTATCCCCAAACTGACCTCTTCCTTCCATCTCCACTGACACCACCCTGCTCTAAGCCACCATCCTCTCTCAACTGGACCACTCTAACAAATCTCCCACCTCCATTCTCCACGCGGTCACCAAAGTGAGCCTCCTAAAAGCAGAGTTCAGAACAAGTTACTTTCTTAGCCCAAACTGTCCGATGGTCTCCCATCGTCATTCATCTAAAGTCCCAACTCCTTACCAGGGTCTGTAAAACTCTGCATGATCAAGACAGCTGTGCTCAGTTCACGCTGCACCATGGAATTCCCTGGGGAGCTTTTATAAACTATGCATGCCCAGGCCCCACCCCAGACCAATTAAATTCACACTCTCTGGGGGTGGGGCTTGCACAATGGAAACTTGAGGTTCCTCAGGTAATTCTAACGTGCAGTCAGAGTGAGAACCACCCATCTGACCTTGCCTCACCCGTCAATCTTCCCCTTGTTCATGATGCTCCATTCACACTCCTGGTCTTCTGTTTTCTCCTGGAACATGTCAAACTCCTGTCTGCTCCATGGATTCCTTTTCTTTTGCTGTTTCCTTTGTCTAGACTGATTTTTTAAAATTTTAATTAAAAAGAAACACAACCTTTTAAAGACAGGGTCTTGGTCTGTCACTCAGGCTGGAGTGCAGAGGTGCAATCCTAGCTCACTAAAGCTTCACACTCTTGGGCTCAACCTAGCCTCCCACCTCAGCCTCCCAAGTAAGTAGGACTCCAGGCACACATCACCACACCCAGCTCATGTTTTTATTTTTGTGTAGAGAGAGGGCCTATGTTGCCCAAACTGGTCTCAAACTTTCGGCCTCAAGTGATCCTCCTGCCAAAGGCTTCCAAAGTGCCGACATTATAGGCATGTGCCACCATGCCTGGCCAACCAAATTTCTAAGTATCATTCAGCTCTCAGCTTAAATACTACCTCCCCAACAAGCTCTTCCCTATCTAAAGCACAGAGTTTCACCTCCTTCCTTGCCCAGTCCCTATCTTCTTATCCTATTTTTTTTTCATGGCAATTATCGCTATCTGATCTAACTTACATGTTTGTTTTTTCTCCTCCACTAAAACGTAAGCTCCAGGAAAGAAGAGACTTTGATCTTCCTCATTATTGTATCTCCAACACAGAATAGTGTTGGCAATCAAATATTATTTTTTAAATGAGCAAAAAGAAACACATCACCATTTATTTAAGAGACAAGAAGGCTAGAAACAGACTGTCAATTGCAGCATGTTTTTCTTTTTCTTTTTTTGAGTTGGAGTCTCACTCTGTCTCCCAGGCTGGAGTGCAGAGGTACAATCTCGGTTCACTGCAACCTCTGCTTCCTGGGTTCAAGCGATTCTAGCTCAGCCTCCCAAGTAGCTGGGATTACAGGTGCACGCCACCACACCTAGCTAATTTTTGTATTTTTAGTAGAGACAGGGTTTCACCACGTTGGCCAGTCTAGTCTCTAACTCTCTATCTCAGTGCTTTTGTTCCTTGATATGAACCTTGCCCTGAGCTAAGAACTAGGACACTCATCACTGCAGAGGCCCTCTGAAGATGGAGGCAGGTGGACACCACCAACTGGAGGCAAAGGACCCAAGTGAGGAGCAGCACTCCTCAGGACCACACTACCAGCCTCTGAATGACCGTGTGCCCTCTGGTGCCGGTCTCCTGGTCTCCAGAGCTGGTGTGAACACACTGTCCTGGGTTATGTGCATTAAGCGCTCATGAGTGAGTTACTCATGAAATAGCCATTCTGTGCTGATTTCCCTAGTGCAGGTCTACCTGATGCAATAATTATACTGCACATGTCTGCTGAGGGGCTCTCACAGTAGGGCTGGAGGGGTGGTAACAGATGCTTCCTGAGGGTGCAGGGTTACAGGGAACAGGAGGAGGGGCTAGGGATGTGACCAGTATTTGTTTCTCATACTTTAATTGGCCAGTTGCTGAGTCCTGAACTCAGGCCAGAAGCAGAGTGAGAAGATGAGTAAGAGACCGACTTTAACTGTGAGATACTCCCAGCTGTACAAAGCCACTGCCCCAACTCTCAGCTGCCCATCACTACTGTAAGGAAAGTGACCAGAGGCCAGGCACTGTGGCTCATGCCTGTAAACTCAGCACTTTGGGAGGCCGAGGTGGGTGGATCACCTGAGATCAGGAGTTCAAGACCAGCCTGGGAAATATTGTGAAACACTGTCTTTACTAAAATTACAAAAACTAGCTGGATATGGTGACACGCCTATAATCCCAGCTACCAGGGAAGCTGAGGGAGGAAAACAGCTTGGACCCGGGAGGCGGAGACTGCAGTGAGCTGAGACTGCGCTCCAGCCTGGGTGATAGAGCAAGATACGACACTCCATCTCAAAAATAAATAGATAGATAGATAGATAGATAGATAGACAGAAGAAGAAAGGAAAGTGGCCGGGCTCATGCCTGTAATCCCAACACTCTGGGAGGCCGAGGCAGGCGGATAAGGAAGTTAGGAGTTCGAGACCAGCCTGACCAACATGATGAAACCCCATCTCTACTAAAACTAAAACTACAAAAATTAGCTGGGCGTGGTGGTGTGCGCCTGTAGTCCCAGCTACACAGGAGGCTGCGGCAGGAGAACTGCTTGAACCTAGGAGGCAGAGGCTGCAGTGAGCCGAGATTGTGCCAATGCCCTGCAGTCTGGGGGAAGAGAACGAGACTCCATCTCCAAAAAAAAAAAAAAAAAGAAAAGAAAAAAAGAGCACAGTGCAGACACAAGACAGAGAGTTGGCAAGATGTGTGGTTATTTAAATTGATGCATAGACTCTAAAGAGCATCTGCCCTTCAAACTAAGGAGGGCTAATACATGCTTTCTTTGGTCAGAGGGAGCCGAATGTATAAAAACAGGTGGGGTGATGAACCCCACAAAGTCCAGTTTGTGCTGTGGAACTCTGTACTGTGTCTTCACATAGGCCCATCAGTGACAAGTTGGCACTTGGCTGTCCATTGCTGTTTTTCCCTGTTTGGAGTCTCATGGGAGGACGAGGAAACTGGGCAGCCTGGAGCAGGTACTATGTCCCCTGTCAAGGTGCTACCTTAAGGTACCAGGCACCCATCACCACTCACCCCCAACATCCACAAGGCTCCAGACAGGACAGAACTGTCTTTCAGAGTCTGTGGCATGAGGTGCCACAGTAGGTCCTAAGTACAGGAGAAGAGTTGCTGGATCATATGGTAATTCTATGTTTAACTGAAACAATGAAAAGCAATGACTCAAATAACGGTACTACAATATTCACTGAAGCATTATTCACAATGGCAAAAGATGGAAATAGCCCAGGGGTCCACTGACAGATGAAGCAGCAAAATGTGGTCTCTTAATACAATGTCATGTTATTAAGCCTTAAAATAGAAATAAACTTCGTTTATATGATACAACATGAACTTTGAAAACATTATACTAATTAGAATAAACAGATACAACATGACAAATATTTTCACTAATACGAAGTATCTAGAAGAGGCAAATACAGACAGGAGATAGACTTTAACCAGGGGTGGGAGTGATGGGAGAATAGGGAGTTATTGTTTAATGGGTACAGAGTTTATGTTGGCAGGGAAATGTCCTGCAAATGGGTGGTGGTGGTGATAATATCAACTCTGTGAATGCCACTGAACTGTACACTTAGAAATGATTGCCATGGTAAATTTCATGTTTATGTTACCACAATAAAAATGATAT